TAGCCTTCTTTATCTTTTTGATTTAGCCTTAACTTGACTAAATAGTCTTTTTTTCAAACTTGATAAATGTTAATTTCTAGTATTAATCATTACATTGTCAAGAACAATACTTTGTTATTGTTTATTAAACCCAAAAAAAGAAAACCTCTTATCATACTTCCTTGTTGCGAACATTATAATATATCATTGTGATAATCTTCGTGATAATGTTAAGCTACTTTCATACTTTAAGCTATTCCATAATTACATAATCATCTCATAAAATTATCATTTACTGATTATTTAGCAAAACTTCAGTGCTAAATTATCTGCATAATTGATTAATTCAATCATTAATTTCCGTGAAGAAATTCATTGTATATCGATGTCTATGTGAATTTAAATTTAATTTATTCACTAATCACTAAATTAGTATTTATCATTTAAAATGATAAAAAAGACAAGAAAGAAAGTAATAGAAAGAGAAGAAAAGAAAAGTAATTAGAGGAAGAAGATGAAAAGAATGCTAGAAATGGTTCGAAATGAAAGCACATTTTGGAATACATCGAAATTTATTGAACCAATATACATCGTTTGTCCTGATGCTGGTTTGGGTTGTAATGATGATGGTTTAGGGGAGAGGGGGGGAGGGGGGGGGGAGAAATGATTGTTGTCGACTTGATTGTTTGATATGTTATCAATAAACCACATCTTCTTTAAAAGATATCAATCTTTTTCTCTTTCCATGACAGTAGACATTATTTGAAAAGAGAACAGAAAAGTAAATATTGTCCCCCTATTTGATCAATCATTTCATATTTAATGATAGTTGTTAAATTAAATTAAATTTTCATTTTAGTATAAAATGAAATGAATGAATGAAACAGGAAATTTGTAATGTAAATGCATTTGATTGTATTATTAAGACAATTTTAGCACGGCGATAATTATTTGCTCATTTCTTTTCCATTTTATGATATCATTTCATTTCATTTTAATCATCAATTAATTTTAAACAGCCAAATATGGAATGAAAAAAAAATTATAATTTAAATGAACATTGATCATTTCTTCTGATTTATACAATTTTTTTAAATTTCAAAAAATCTGAAATTATCTATTGGTTATATAGCATTTAAAAAAAAAAAATAAATTCATTCTTCAATAAAATTTCTCAATGCAATTGAAAGAGAACATTGTAAATACTTTACAAACAATTAAGATTTGAATCATAATTTTGTTAGCTTAGATGACATATACAATTTTAGTTACCCTTTGACCCACAAATTATAGCTATTAGCTTATCGAAATTTTGTTGTATTTTTTTTTTTTTAAAAAAAAAAGATTAACTTTATATACAAAAAGCTAAGAATATTCTCATATCTTCTCAAATATTTTGCAATAAATTAAAATGAATTAATTTAATATTAGCAAATATTATGATGGAAAATATCACATAATACACATTGGTCCTTAGTCATACCTTTTAAACATTCTTTTACCTAATTAAGCCTTTCTTTTTGTATAAATAATTGCTTCAGCTATAATATACTATTGCAGCATAGACATACACACACACACACACACACACACACATACATACACACATACACATATATATATATATATATACATACACATACACATACACGCATACACAGATATATACATACATACATTTGTATACTGCGTGATACAGGTACTGCTCCATCATGGACTGATTATTAATTCTTTTGCTCATATAGACTTTTTCTGCATGAAGTAATTTAATTTTGTTCAGTTTCCTAAGCAGGTAACCTAGGTGACAAGAGACAAATATCAATAAGAATACACCCACATCCCATACACACCCACACATACATATATATATATACATGCATATATATACGTGTATATATATCCACCTACATATATTCATATGGATTCAAAGGAGCATAGCAGCAGAAATAATTGCTCCATAATAGGCACAAACTGATCTTAGTAAGTTGTACTTTTTCATTTTACTTCATTCAAATATAACCATAATTCTTTTGAGAACTTCAAATTTTGTATTGCTTCATTGGATTTCATGAAATATAAAAGATAAAAAGAGGATGATTGGATATATTACTAAAAGGTGACAGATTACGGTAATGAAATTAGATGACATATCTTACTTGTTATTGTAGTATATACCAAAAAAAGAATTTGGATCATTTTAGCATATTAAAGATTGTTTCTTACCTGCTTTATATGGGATTTTTTTTCCATCTATAATGATGACGGAAAAAAAAAAAAAAGAAAATCGATTTCCATTATTACAACTTATTCCAAAAAAAAAAAAAAAAAAGAATCAGTAGAAAAGAAGTGATTTTTTTAAAGGTTTACAATATTCTAGAATATTGAATATACAAAATTTTGAATATTTTAACTCTTATGATAGTAATTCTAAACAACGATTTATTCATCATTCATTCCTTTATGTCATTCTCAAAGTATTATTATCTTGCAGATGGAATCATTAATTTAAGAAATTTGAATGTAAATTGATTTTTCAAAGGGTTTTTTTCTTCTCCTCCAAGAAAAATATAGGAAGTCAGAAAGCAGAAGCTAATTTCTTTCGTATGAAGTAGAGCAGGTATCTTTCAAGGATATTGTAACAACTCTCTTTTAGCCTATTGTTTTCCATTCTTTTTCCTCCTACTGTATTCATCATCTGATTAGATAGCTTCTTATTTCAAGGCCAAAATTCCTCTAAGCCTCTTCTCTCTAATAGTAGTGCCAACTCCATCCCGTACGTCCAATGAGACTGCCACACGTCAAACTGTTATATTTTCATAGTAAGACAGTTTTTGGGCTGCGTGAAGTTCGCATGAAATAGGCGTTTGTTTGAGTGGGAGGTAAGTGTTGCTACCTTTAATAATTTGAGATATAATGGATTCTGGATTTTAACTTAGGTGAATTGTTAATATAGAAGAAGGGAATTTAAATAAGATCGAGATAGAGAGATATGGTGTTCAAAGTTAACTTCATGTAACAGTTGAACTAAAGTCTTCTTGTATATGACGAATAAGATAGTTAACAATAGAAAGCCAAGTAGGATTGTTCATCTGATTTAAAAATATCGAGATAAGTAAATAGATTATTCAGGATTGTGACGAAAGGAAAGTAAATCAACCAATTAAAATAATGATATCAGCATAATCTATTGTTCTTTCTTAACAAAGTTTTCAGAAATCCTGATGCAGATGACCAGCCAGTTTCCGTTTGTTATGAGACTGGACTTAGAAGATTCCTCAATTCAGTGTAGTTTTTTTTTCTCTCTTTTTAACGTAATATTTTTGAATGGTTATTACTTTTAGGTTGTAAGGGATCCGTCTGATGTCCTATTTATTGCCATTGTCATCATGTTCAACCCCTGGTTGGAATGATCCACCTGCAGTGCTTGACCCCACGAAGACATCATCACCGAGTACCGGTGCTTTGGCAAATAGACATCGGCGTCCCGTGCATCCTTCCATTCAAGTATTACTTTCGGTTTCTTCAAATATAGGACGGAAACTACTTGTTCAGAAGTATAGCAATTATATTACTCCAGTATTCGTTCCGCTCTTTTAACTCGATTCCTTCTCATCGCTAAAGTTTTTCTTTTTTTCATTTATAGTTTCAAACTAGAAACTTTTTATGAAAAATTTCGGCTAATATTTCTTTTTGTATGAACTAACTGGAATAGTTTGCTTATGCCACTTTTATATTGAAATAAGAGAATGATAATTTTATATTCTAATAAAAAGTGCTTTCTGAGAGAAGATTGTTGCCAGTGCTTGTTGTCTATATTGATTGGAGTTTGAAATGACAAAACTCAGCTGAATGATTTCAACTTTTGAAATAATCTTGCACAGTGCTACATACACGTTCTTCGTGACTTGTTCTTGTGATTCCCATATTTTGGGATTTCAGTATCCTTGTATTAAATATGGCAGATATTTATGATCAGCTGGAAATTTAAAAATTAAGCTAAAGCGCATCACTTTACAACCAGTTTTCATCTTTAAGGAAATATATATTTTAATATATTTTCAGGCTTCCAATATTTCACCGACTTACACGAATCCGGTGCAATCAATTTTTTCCCCGCAAGCTACAAATCCAGCCCTAGTTCCAACTCATATTCCAACTGTAACCTCAGGTCAGGGGATTACAGTCTGTGGAGCTCCTCTACAATCAATCTTTCCGACACCGGTGCCAAATTATGCCACAATGGATTCATTTCTCCCATATTCTAATTCCCCATCAAAAGACAGAACGAAGGATCAATCGATGGAGAAATCTTCATCCCTGCAGCAGCATCGTTCTATTTTTGATGCGTTCAATGTCCCAGTTGGCAAGTTTGATATGCTTTATACAGATTTCTCCCTCTGAGTATTCCAGTATATCCTTCTTCAATCTGACTGCAGTTAAAAGGTGGCACGACGATAAAATTTGATGATACTTTTCAGTTAGAGTTACCAGGAGTAGTGTTTAAAATCAAAATTACCAACTATATCCATTCTTGACTAATTTGTTTTTTCGCTCATGCATGCATTTAGCCACTAAGTTCCCACTAGTTCGTGCTTCTCCGTCCCCTTTCGTTAACTGATAGCTGATACAAAGCATACTGCTGGGCTGACTTATTGTAAGCTTTTGAAGTACACATTTCCCCGTACTTTTTCGCATTGTCACCATAATTCGTAAAATATGCTTTAAATAAAACATTAATGTTCATGCTCCCATCTTTACTTCATTATTTTATGCAAATTATGGAATTAAGATCAGTTATATCAAGTAGAGCAAACTAATTCATATATTACAGATCCTCAGCAGCAGGCGCTACCGAAATCGACAGGTCTAACATACGATACGTCTGCAGGGAAGCTTCATGAGAGTTGTTTTCAGGTAATTATTGATGTCTCCGTTATTGTACCATTATGATATCAATTTACAGGTAGATAATGCAAATGAATTTACTGAGTTATTTCATCCAAGTGATATTTGTATAAATTTATAATTGTTCGTAATCCTAAATCAAAAAAGGTTGGAAGAAACTGGCTTTAAAAAAGACCAGTTCCTTTGCAGGTTTGTCGAAGTTCGCTTATTTTATGATTTTTTAAACCTTTAATGGTATAGATGTTTTGCAATCATCTTAATGTTATAAAATGAATCTTGGATTTTCTCCTACTAACTGGTTTTCAGAAATCCTTGGACTCGAATTTACCTACTTTAGCAGGTGTTCAAGTTACACCTTCAATTGAAAGAAATCCGAATGCTTTAATTTATGTTCCACCCAATGTAAGTTGTAATTCACATTGTTTGTAGAAATGTTTGTAAAAGCTGACAAGGAGTTAACTATCCTGAAATTATGAATTCAAATTGTGGGTAGAGTTAGAACTTCAATAGGGCAAAAGTCAGAACTTGTTTCTGGAGGTTCATATGTACATATGAAGATAATGTTTATATATATGAAACGTTATATATATATATATATATATATATATATATATATATATATATATATATATATATATATATATATATATATATATATATATATATA